TACGTAACGTGTTATAAGTGGAAATAAAAATATTGCAGCGACCGATAAATTTGATCTCAATTCGAAAATAGTAAATATTTCGACTTATTTCGGTTAAAAACGCCATTCAAAACCAACGGTGTATTTTCGTAAGTTATTTATAAATGGAAAACCCTGTATATAAGTGTGTAAATATTATTTTGGTATAGCCTAGGAACCGACCGAAATGTATAAAAATATCTATTGAATAAATATTTTTCTACATCTAAAATAAACAGCGTAATACCAATACCTATATAGGGAATGGAATTCGATTAAGGGCTCGAAAAATAAGCAAAAACATACCTAGGAAATTAAAGGCACTTGGACATCCATGTAAATATACCGCTTCGAAAAAAACACGAATCACCTATGCATCAGCAACGTTAATATCCAAACGTAAAATTCCGATTTTCAATTATATTCTTCCTATATTTAAATTAAAAGCCGGTTATTAAAAACATCCTCCAAGGTATTCGTATTAATATTTTACTAGATTTTCAATCAACTCTGATTGCACAGAACGTCGAGCATGTGTTTGAATAACGAACATATATTCAGAAATCCAATATTCGTTATTAACTTTTTTTTCCCAAACCACCGCAATACGCCCGTATTTATTCTATGAATTAATTTTAAACTTTTACGAAATCCCATACGCTTACTTCAAATTTTTAATACCAAAGATATTACGAACCAACCCGACGTTAAACTATTACTAGGAAATTATTATTGCCACGTAGAAGGCTATATCAGAATATCTCTATCAGGAAGTATCTACTCTACGACACGTTGGGCTTCTAATTCGACCAGGAATTTTTTGTATTCGAAACAGCGGGCGCAAAAAGTAGGGCGCAAAGTAAAGGGCCATCATTTTGCATCCGCGAAGGGCCCGCGGGACGGCGAATTCCGAACGATTTAGTGCAAGCTCTCCTTATGCGCCCACAGGGGACGATAGTTTAACGGCGTTCCCGAAAACATGCAACCGTTTCCAACGGCCGAAATAACTTACGAGACGGAGCCCGGCCCGTCAATAATTGGTCTCTTCTTATTACACACGCCGGCGCTTACTTTTTGATTTATATTCGGATTTCCGAAATCTCGCACGGAACGCCTCGCGAGGGATAATAGACGGTGGGTTTTAGTGTGTAAGGAATTGCGGAACAAATTCACCCGAAAGCGTCGGTCGTAAAAAATTATTCTTATTATACTTGTATCATCTACTGATGTACGACATCGTTAGGAGATCCTTTTGAGGGTACAATGCCTTTTCGATCACCACGCGCGCGGCGATCCCGGGAGATTTATCTTATTATATATAAATGGATGCCGAGCACCTAACGGGCTTTCGGTCGGATGTTATGCAGTTTTCGCATTTTTCGAGGTGAAGAATACGTCCTGAATAGAGAGATAAGTACCGGTATTGTAGCGATTTGATTAATGGATATATCAAAATAACGTTCGAGCAATATTCACGACGGGGCCATAACAGATTTGAATCTTAACAACTATAACAATCACAAAAAACATGTCGATGGAATATCTCCACACAAGGTTTCTCTACAAGTTTTAGACTTGTATTTGAGTTACGATAGAGTTTTATTTTATATACTACCTCGTTCAGTTCGCGTTTATTAATTAAGTAAAATCCGAACGCGATTTGCATTTCCGCCGTTTCGTTCGGAAATATTAGCGCGATAACGCGTTCTGTGCAAACGAAAACCGGTGGCGCTAAAAATGAGATAGCGGCCGAGACGACGGCGACGCCGACGCCGACGCCGCGCTCTCCCCTATATATATATATACGCGTTGGATCCGCAACAACTTGGAAACCGGCGAAACAAAAACAACCGACTCCCCGCGCTAATTGAATTACTCATCGAGCGCCACAACCAAGGCAACTAAATAAATGCTAAAGACAAACGAAAAGACTGTTTGGATAATTGGTGGAGTTTCGCTAAATGCGAACCGGCGTCGGAGTGCACGCGGAGCGCCGAAAAATGTACACCGACGCGGAAAACTTCATCAGGCAAGCGATGATGCTCGCGTTAATCTGCAGTTTTTACTCGATTGGGTATTCTAGTAAATAGAAAAAAACAAAAGTCGAAATCTCGAAGGTGGTGGAAAAACATCACAACTTGGCAACACCGCTATATTTAACGGAATTAATAGCGATTCAAAATACAATTCTTCTTTCCCTTTGAAATCGAATCGCAAATTTTAAAGCGAAATTTTTCAATAAAACTGATTCCCGCTGCGCCAAAAAACCTCGTATTTCTCAATTAAATAAATCTTGATGTATTTCGATCGGTTTTCCATCGATAAAATCTTGTACAAATATGCCGGCTGTTTTTCGAGCTTTGTGCCGATTTTTCATAAACGATTAAGTGGCCGGCCCGTGACAAAGTAAAAATGTTACATATTGGAGCAAAAAAAACGCGATACAGATCTAACTGCAACATCCATGGATTTTCATAAATAAAAGAGCAACTCACTTGAATAACGCGGATTTGGCATGTGCGATTTTTTACGGTGCTTTTTTTTCTATGTTTTTATTTTCGCAATGCAACCCGGTCAGTTTAATTTAATTCCCGGATGCTCTTTTTACGACGAAATACCGAAATAATTCGTTATCGGCGCAACAATTTGAGTAAAATATATTTTGATTATCCACCGTGGATTACACAGATTTATAGTATACTAAAAAAAAATAAGTCATTTAGCATTAATCGCCAATTCTATTTTCGGATCGGAAATACTTATTATAGACCCGTTCCATCATCGAACCGATTTGTCATAAATAATTACCCACCGGCGAAGCCCCAATACATCAACCACCAACTATATTCGTTTACCGAAAACTTTTTTTATATCCTCTAATAAAACTTCTCCCGCTTTCATTAAGACCGCCGCTTTTTCCATCGACTTCGGCAAAATGCCATCGGAATGTGCGAATGTACGTGAGTGCGTGTACACGTGCACTAAAGAGCTCGACGGGACCCCTGGCGGTCCATTCATCAATTAGGGGCCCGATGGGCGACAGGGCCTACGTGCCCGGCGATCTGTCACCGGCACAACAACCGCGGCCCGACCGCGACCGCATTTCATCCGGACGCTGTCCGGCACCGGCGACAGAAACCGGCAATATCGGTAAACCCGAATAAGAATTCCCAATTATTATCCATAGTAATTGAAGATGCACTAGTTTATACCATGTTCTGCAAACAGATGCAATTCGGAAGGCATTTAACTGGTTCAAATAGATTTTGAATATGTAAATTTTTTGGTTTTCGAAAACTTCGATTGTAGATACACTGATATTTTTGTTACTATATAAATTTCGTAGAGTAGATGTACTTCTTAATCAACAAACAGGTGCAGTGAAACGGATATATTTCGGTATAATAACCTGGCTATTGATCGAAATTGGAGTAAAGTGAAATTTGATAAGTAAAAGATGTTTCGGGTCCGTCCACTAATTGATACGATAATAGTCGATATTCATTCGAGTCGGTTAAGATTGCCGAGTGCCGACGAACCGACGATCGAAAGTTTTCCCGAAGTTCGCCTCTACGCGGAACGATGTTAAACCGCCCCGCGTCGGCGGGGCCGAAAAGCAACGAAATGGGGGGCCGGAAGGGGGCGACTCGCACGCCGCCCATTATTAAATTTAATAATTTATCCAGTTAGAGGTTACCGTTAATGCTCTTTACCGCAAATTTCGCGGTGGCGCTTTGTGCTCGACTCCTTCGGGCTCTATTTCCAACCATCGACAAAGCGAGAGGATTTTTTAGTAAACAAGTTCGATCCTGCCTCGCGGCTCGAAATTCATACCGCGGGCTGTTGCGCTAGTTTAACTTCCTCGTCGACGAGTTTTTTTTTTCGGTTAGAGCTTTTTTAGCATTCCTTAATTAGGTTTCTTAGTTACTTTTTGCACGCAATAACTCCACAAATACCGCTCTATTGTCATAATTTTTCAATGACCGATTCAAACAACAGTACAATACTTCCAAAAAAACTCTAATCCCGTATTAAAGCGATCAATTAGCGAGAATTAAACGTGTCCAATCGTAATGGACAACAAAAATCGCCCTACAAACCCGCCCGCATGGTGTCCCTCGACGGGGGCGATTTGGTTTCGACATGCCCGGACTAATGCTAACTAACCGAACAGTTCGCGAGGTTAAATATGGCCGTTTAAAATATGACAGTGAATAATACGAGGGAATTTACCGTTCGAAACATCCAAAAGCGCGATAAAAAAATCAACGCCGAGCGTACTAAAAATAAAACAATTTCGAAAATTGTTGAAATACGAGGGTAACGTCGTTAGATCGTTATCACTTCGGAAAATCTGAGCAATTCCCCTCGTCATTCGTCGCGCCCCGTCTCGCGCTAATTTATCAAAACGCCTAAGCACACGTGTATATACGCGAGAGTAGGAGAAAATTATCATTTAACGCCGAAGCATTAATATTAATCATCGAAAATGATGATAAACGACGCGCGTCTTTCTGTAAGAAGTAACATTTTCTCGCGGGCCATTGTTTATTTAATGTGGCATTCGTGTCGGGCCAAATAGTAATTTCGACCACGCCGGATCGTTATCCGTTCCGTTGTAGCGATTACGATCCGGCGAAATTTCACCCTAAACTTAGATAATACAACGCGAATCGTACCGATGATATTGAAGAACGAGAAATTGATATAAAGATGACGCTAAAGTGGAAATTACATTTTCGAAGTTCGCTTTTATTGGGCAGTTTCGTGTCAAACAATAACTTTAGAACGTCCGCTAAGTCTTAGGAGTTTATGTCCCATAAAAGGTCCGTTTTTAATAGAAGTTAGCGGTTTTATTTCGGATGTTGTATAGCGTATTAAAGGAAATTAATAAACAATTGTGTAGATGTTGGGTATTCGATGCGCAATGATTTATGCAATTGTGGTTTATTCAATTATTCAAGCATTGTAAGTGTACTTACCTTAATTCCGATGTGAATTGGATAATCCGGTGATGAGTTTATCGAGGAGAGTGTTTGTAAAACTGGGACGACGGGAAGAGAACAAGACATCATATTGTCGACCTGAAATAGAAGAAAAAAGGGTTAATTACTTAATATTATGGGAATATTAACGAATAACTTTTCGTCGTTTTTGATTAAAAACCAACCACCTAGTAGGAAAAAAAAGTTTTTTCAAATTGGAAAAGTTCGTCTTTAAATAATTTTAATAAGAACTCTTACCGGTCTTAATTACAAGCAGTGCAACATTTCGAGTTGCTTATAGTAATGTTTAATTAAAAGAGGCTCCTTTAATGCGAACGAATGTAAACGAAAAGTTTTCAATTTTCCTTCAATATAGTAAAATACTCCCTAAACGATTCGAAACGAAATTACCACCGATAATTCACCCCTAACCCCGTCCTCCGCTTTCTGGCCAGGCAAAATTCACGCATAAAAACCTATTTACGGGTCGCGTAATTCAATCACTAAACAATTTTCCTTTATAAATATTTACAAAACGCTATCAGGCCGGCCCGATATCATCTACGAGATACGACGGAGCCTCTTCTCTCTCTCTACCCGTGAATATTCATTTAGGCGCCCGTTATCGATACTATTCCGCGTACGTGGGGAAGAGTCCTTTTCAGTTTCAGACACAATGAAACGATGAGGCGAGAAAATCGTCTGAATTGCGAAGGGTATGCGCCGAGAGAAGGTCCTCATCCGCATCAACAAACCCTCGGGCGCGGGGCGTCGAAAAACAAAATGACGTATTAAAGGCGAAAGGCAGGAATTGAATTTCGGTCGTTTAGGGAGCGACTTCGCTATATGCTATATGGACGTTTAAATGTCTATTTACATGTCGAGTCGGTAATAAAATCGAGTCCATTCGACGGAATATACAAGAGGTATTAACATACAAGAAACAGCTCATTTATTAGGATAGTAAAAGGGTTAGTAAAAATGATGTATGTATTAGAATTACATACAATACGAAAGGAGTTACAGCTTTCCAAAACTCTTCTACTCTACTCTACAAATTATAGTTAATAGTAGTATTATTTAATGTTTCACGTGTAATAATCGCAATAATGTATCTCGGAGAAGTATCTATTAAAAAGAAATTAGTAAGCAAAGTTACCGCTTCGGTTAATCACTCAACCCAATGAAAATTCTAACCTCACATACCCACCCACAACTAATACAACAACAAACAAAAACGTATAGCTACTCACATAATCGTGGAGGTAATCTTTCATGGTACTTTTCGCAGTTCACGTGGAGGTTTCGGTGAATAAAAAAGTCGCGAGTCGATACCTAAATGGCATGCGGAGCATAAAAAACCGAACTAAAGAGACGCGCCTTAAAAAATCCGATTCCCAGTGTAATCTTGCGTAACCTTGAAGAGGCCGTTCGTTGGTCGTACACCGGACCCGATGGAACGAGTCCACCTGTTCGATGAGAACACCTCGACGTGAATTACCTATCGAACGGAACAGTTTTTTTATTTTATTTCTCTCTTTCCGCACTCGCACCGTCGCTAAATTCATTAGTTCAATTTGCATAGGAAGAGAGAAAGAAAGGGAAGAGCAACGAACTCTTCGGGCGGACCTTGTGTGTGTGTATTGGTGAATTGTTTGTATCGATATCGTGCGCGTTTTAACCGAGTTTCGCGTATTTAAATTTAGCAGAAAGCATCGCGAATTCGGGGAAAATTAGGGATAATTTTATAGCCGCGAATCGCCATTGTTCAGCCGGTACAAAAGAATAGATTTTCCGGCGCCGAGCGAACGTCTTGCCGGGGACTCGGGGGCAGATACAATAAAAAGTCTGTCATCTGTTGCGAAATACAACTAAAATCCAACAATGGCTACTAAATAGAAAAGTTTTCCGGGGCTTTGCATCAAAAGAAACACCTGTTGTTGGCGAGAAGGGGGATTTTTACTTCCCTATAACGCCGGTTTATGAAAATCACCCGGTTGATACACTTAGCAGTTATAAAGAAGAGCGGCAGATGTAATTAATTTTTTTAAGTCTGATCGATTGGTATCGGAGAGATAACCCAGCTGGGACACTTTCATTCTACTTCGAAATGTTCTCTTTAATATGGATTTAATTATTTAAAAAAGACGTTTTCGAAAACGTTATATCTTCATTATAAACTGTTATAGAGCACTAATAAAAGCAAATATGAATTGTATGTGTAATTAACGGTATGTATTTTCATATTACGGTAGTATCCCAGTATCTTAATGTGAGAAATTCATTGTACTTTCCAGCCAATAAATAAATCAAATATAAGAAAATTCCGTTAGATTTAGAACAATAGTATCGTGTTAAATTTCCGTTGCACTAGTTTCTTATACATAAACATTTTCTCAATTCTTGATACACCATCAAAATCCTTTATAATACCAAACAAAACTCTTGCAAAAAACAAACCAAACGCCACATTAAACCATCTTTAGTTCGCTAACAAACCAACTTCCAATTGACGCTGCGTTTTCCGCTAACCCACGCATTTATCCGGTCCGATTTTCCGAATTTCCCATCGACCAACGAACGAAACGAATCTCCTCTAGACGGGCACATGTGGCGGCATTATCATCGTCCGTCATCTTCACGTCGCCGCTACCGGTTCCCGCTTAAGCTAGGCCTATAATAAATGGGAATCACTTCTAGGTGAACAAAAGACAAACGTGTTTGTGGCAGTTGTTCTGCGTGTGTTCCGGCGATCATTAGTGGAAGGCGCCGCTCCCAGCCCCGCTAATTTACGCTCCGATCAGAACCGGATCGACCTCCAAAAACCCGGACATTTTCCACTTAAAATACTTATCCACTTCTCCAGATATATCTAAACTACAAGACGGTAAACTACAAACAGATAGCGTTGTGGAATGGAAGTAGATGTTTCGAGAGTAGATGAGTGGATGTCTGGATAGTTTTAGTGTGGAAAAAGTCCGGTTCTGGATGCAGGCAAATTGAGGTTGTAAGAGGCGGGACGTGGGGAAAGGAATTGCCTGTTTCTGGTCGGAACGGATCCCGCTGGTGGACGTCGATCGCAAAACTGGAGATTTCGGCGGTAATTGCTTCTTAGACGCGAATCCCGGTTTTGTTTAATAATAAAAGCAGGTAGATCTGTCGTATTGCGAAGCTTTTAGTTACCTTCCCTGGCGGTTTTTTTCCTCTCCTATTGTCTTCGACCAATTAGACCAAAAGAAATTGCCCCGTAAAATACTTCCCAATTAATTCGATGCTGGAACCAGTACATCCCATCGTTTCTACTCGTTAATGTGTAATTAACAATTCATTTGGGAATATACCTACCAACTAAACTAATTAAACTAATTAATGTTATTAATATTAGTTGGTTACATAGTTTAGAGGTTGATGTGTGCATAAGGATTTTCAATGAACCCGGAACATATTTTCCCACATAATGAAAATGATTTCAACGTAATTAAAAAGAAAACTGCGAACGGTCGAGCGAGTTCGAGGAATTGTTATTGTAAACTGGGCTGCGGGAACTGAAATACAAATTTAGATTTCTGTTCATTCATTTCGATCGCTAATTAATTAGTCGGATTGTTATCAAAAATAGCTGGATTTAAAACCGGGGTATGTGTAATTTTATTTTGCGTTATATATTAATGTAAATAACGTACATCATTTAACCGTAAGGTTATCTTCGTTATAAATGCAGATTCGAAATGAATTATTAAGGTTATGCAGAAATATTCAAATGCAAGTCGGAAATAAAAAATAGTATCTAGTAAAAATTCAAGAGATTTTTACCTGCGTGAAATTTGTAATTAAAATTATAAAATCATAAAATATGGATACTCGACCTAACTATTCTGATGTATTGTGGTACATGAGTTTTTTTTATGCACTCGGAAAAGTGTTATTATGAACAAATATTTTTTAAAACGATATTTGGTAAATATTTCAATAAAGGTCAATGTTTAACAAACATCCCTCTCGATTACACCTAAAATAGAATAGTAAAATTTCCCAATTTATTAAAATTACCATTGTTATTTAGATTCGAAAATAGGTTTTAATACTTTTCCAGCGTTTTTTACGAGGTTTTTTTAATAAAATGCATTGTTCATCTTTTTTATAGACATTTAATTCCCATTATATCCCATCGTTGGATGCATAAAGGTAATTAAACTAACAGAATAAAATATTTTACTTCGTTAACCGAATTTTTTCCATTGGACAATATTACCGTATACACATTCCGACTATTACAATTTGATTTCATTTAAATCCTCAAATTGATTGAAAATTCGTTGTAGTCATACTTATCGTAAACAATTCATTAAAAACGTAAAAAAATACTTCAAAAACGGAATACGCACAATAAATCATCGAAAGTATGCGTAAGTATCTACCAGAATTTCGAGCGTTTATCCCTTAAAAAATACAGGGAAAAAAGTTTCCATTGACGAGGAAAAAGGAAAAAAAAAATTCCAAATTGGCAAAGTTCCCGTTTTAATTATAAAGTTGACATCAACTAGAAGGAATATTGTTTTAAAAAGTTAATAATTTCGTCCTCTCGGCGTCGCGGCGCTCCGCTCCGACTCCTCGGCCGTCGGGGCGCGTCTCCGCCGATAAATTAAGTTGGCGAATAAAAATTAATTTCCCAATTGTTTTACTTACCTAATCTAATTCCGGAGTGAGTTGCGTTGCAGCCAATTCGCCCTATTTGCATAGCGATTTTCTCATTTTACCGTCACCGAGAGGATTTTCGTAGTTACTATAACGAAATGGATTTTTAACACCATTAAAAAAATAGTACCTACGATATACAAAATTTCAAACGAAGCTCCGATAGCGCCCGATAACGATGTTTTCGAAATAATGGTTTTATTGAATCGGAATGGCCTATTGTTCTTCGATTTTCCGGTTCGATTGAACGCGAGTTAAAAGACTCGGGATCTTTGTCGTGTTATTATTAATCGGTTTAATACGGTGCTGCGAATTCTGATCGGAGATCAGAACACAATTCCTTTCCTGGTTTCGAATAATTAGTCACGCAGTGCAATGACATGCAATCGAATCGACATTAAAAC